AACCTCCTATTATCTACTAGCAAGTCGTGTCAATTTTACCTTTCAGATCTACTTCCAGTCCTTTTCCCTCACCCTCATGCATGCTCCCTTCACCTCTTTCCTGACCTCTGCAATAGTTTACTGAATGATCTCCCCGAAGCCTCTTGCCTCTCCCTGTCTATTCCCAATGCATCCAGAGTGACCTTAGTAAAACTTAGAGTTGACTATGACACACTCCAGCTTCAGACTCTTGTGGCTCTCCTACTGTCCTTAGAATAAAGTCCAAATTCCCTAATGTGGCCTACAAACCCATTTATGATCTGGCCCTTGCCTACCAGTTTCATTCCTCCACCCCTTACACTTGCTTGGTTCCACTCCTGAATTTCTTTCAGTTCCTCCCATGTGCGGCGCTCTCTCCTAGCTTCTGCACATTTGGGTCCCTCTGTACAGAATGCCCTTTTTCCTTCTCCCCTGGCTTACTCCTATTCATACTCTCTTTTTTTCCCCACTTAAAAAACTGAGATATAATTTACATACAGTAAAATTCACCCTTTNTCCACTCCTGAATTTCTTTCAGTTCCTCCCATGTGCGGCGCTCTCTCCTAGCTTCTGCACACTTGGGTCCCTCTGTACAGAATGCCCTTTTTCCTTCTCCCCTGGCTTACTCCTATTCATACTCTTTTTTTCCCCACTTAAAAAACTGAGATATAATTTACATACAGTAAAATTCACCCTTTAGAGTGTACAGTCCTATGAGGTTTGACAAATTTATACTGTTGTGTAACCACCATCACAAGATATACAACAGTTCCATCACCTCCAAAATTCCCTGTGCCCCTTGGTAGTCAACCCAACTCCTGATCTGTTTTCTGTTTTGCATTTTCTGGAATGTCCTACAAATGGAGTCATTCACTATTTATGTAGCCTTTTGAGACTGGTTTCCTTACCTAACATAATGGATTTGTCTATGCTGTTGTGAGTATCGGTAGTCTGATTCCTTTTTATTGCTGAGTAGTGCTCCACTATACAGATGTGCTACAACTTATTTATCCATTCACCAGTGGATAGGACACTGGAGTTTTTTCCAGTTTTGGGCAATTATGAATAAAGCCACCACAAACGTGTGGGTACAAGGCTTTGTGTGCACATGGTTCTCATTTCACTTGGGGAAATGCCTAGGAGGAAGATTGCTGTTTATGTAACGTTATAAGAAACGGCCAAACTTTTTCCAGAGTTGCTGTACTAGTTTGTATTCCTGTTTGCAATATATGAGAATTCCAGTTGTTCCATATCCTCACCAGCTCTTGTTTGGTAGCTTTTTATATTCAAGTAATTTATTTTTTGCCATTCTACTAAATGTGTAGTGGTGTCGAATTGTGGCTTTAATTCCCACTTCCCCTATGACTAATGTTGAGTCT